ACACACCTGACTGGAAGTTTCTATGCCTAGTAAGAGCTTGATTAGCTGCTTCAGGTGTGTTTAATTAGGGTTGGAGCTAAACTCTGCAGGACACCGGCCCTCCAGGACCGAGTTTGGACAGCCCTGGTTTAGGCGATTCGTTTTTCGCGGCGCGTTTGTGGTGGAAAGGGCCTTTTGAGTAACGAACGTCTTTTTTTTTTTAATGACAGTTCACTTTACCCGAATAAGCCACATAATTTGAGCTATTTTTCAAGTCTGTAGCACAACCCCGCGCAGGTTAATAATAATAATAATAATAATACTACAGTAGCGATGTCCACTGAACTCAACGGAGACGTTCACGTCACACGCAGGGAGCCGGTGCACACGAGCTTCCGGTATCCACACCGTCTGACCGCAGTGAATCACGGGATACGAGTTTTTGCCCCATTTGTGACATCACAAAAGGTGTTGTTCTAAACTACATCTCCCACAAGAAGCCTCTCCTCATTCCAAGGAAAGCCCCATTCTGGCAGATCTTTCGCTGAGTTACAGCCTCCTCTCCGTGTTATTATTGAGGGGGAGCGGAGAGGAGGCGGTAGATCCGCAGTCATGGAGCTGCATTAGGAGGAGTAAAGCACCAGCTCCTCTACCCCTGAGGGACAGAAGAAACCTCACGGGCAGGAATATACCAGCGAAGGCGGATCAGAGCGCTGTCATGCAGTAACACGCACAGAAGAATCTGAAAGCATCCGCCGTTAAAGATGTCCGCGGAGCAGCAGCGCGACCTGACGCGGGCGGAGGTGCAGCGGCTGTCCCGGGAGCTGGCGGAGACCACGCGGGAGAAGATCCAGGCGGCGGAGTACGGGCTCGCGGTGCTGGACGAGAAGCAGCAGCTGAAGCAGCGGTACGACGAGCTGGAGGCGGAGCACGAGACCGTCCGCCAGGAGCTGGAGCAGCTGCGAGAGGTGCGTTAACGGAATGCCCTCGTGCTGTTTTTGGACATGGAGAAGTACTGTAATCGTGTTAGTGGGAAAACACCGAATCCGACGATTCCTTCATCCGGTCGCATTCTTCATGAATGTGTCACTTGCCTATGATGTCCCACAATTCTGTGCGTGCGGCGGTTGTTGGGAAGAATAAAAATGTTTTCTGATGGAGCAGATGGCATAAATCCATACATTTGATTCGGCCTCTAGTAGTAAGCTTTGTAGTGATTTAACATTTGCTTGGTTATGACTGAAGCGAATGAATTTTTAGGGTCATTATTATTTAGTTAGTCTGTAACCAGTCATGTGCAAAGTGCTGCCTGTGTTTTATTGGCTGTTTTATTGTGTAGCTGCTATAGTGAATGTCACTTTGTGCATACAGTGAAATGAGCTCATCATTATTATTATGTAGGCCTAGTTGTTATTCTCTGTCAGTCCATTGTTATTTCACACAGGTCCTCAGTGGTTTCATTTGTGTACAGTAATGCTCTCAGCTCATGAGTGATGGGGAAATGAGACGGGCCTGCTTTTGAATTTTTGCGGGAGTCTCTGTCCCCGCCTAAAGGGCCAAGAGAGTTGCAGCCTGAAGAGGAATGAGGAGAATACAGATGGTTTCCTCCGGCCGAGCTGCAGATAAACACGCCTCTGTCTCTCATCAAACTGAGTTTCCACACTAGTGCCTGAGAATGACGCTCAATGTCGGCACACAATGAGAGATGGGATGCTTTAGGAATTTGTTGAAATGAGGAAGTGCTGAAGGTCAATCAGCAACAAAAACAGGCCTGTTATCGTCGATCAATTATCAAAACTTGCCTGATTTTATTTTTTTTTGGAGCTTGAGTAATTTCCTGTCACATTTAGGTCCTTTTTGACATTTTTGAAGGTTACACTTTCTGTCTCCATTTACCAGCTCTGTTCATTGATAACAGCCAGTATGTGTTCATGTCAAACGTAAACACAACCCACTTGTGAACATGCATATGATAGTTGCCTAGAAGGTATGGTTTATCATTTAAAAAACTTGAATAAATTAGTATTAGGTATTTTTGTTTGTTTGTTTGTTTCAGAAGACACTGATCCATCCACTGGGGTCGTATGGATTACTCTCATAATGGCTGTATGTGATTTTTGAGACGTCAACATTTGGGTGCCTATTCAGTAACAGCCAGCATAACTCAGCAGTGAGATGACTTGAATGGTCTGTTAAAGTTTAACAGCTGACATGCAGGGTCACAAGCACCCACTCCAACTTTGTTTTTCAAATGCACGATGAAAATCAGTGGAAACCGGTTAGTGGGGCTTTAGATGCTGGCAGTGCTGCGCTTGGCAAGCCAGCTGTCCCACCCTATAGCAGAAGAAGAAGCTAAAAGCATTTACTTCATGCTCTTTCAAACAGTGTGTCTTTGTTTCATGAGGGTGCAATTGAAAACAAATCTGCTAAATTAGTCATTGTGTTGAATAACTCAGGATTGATCCTGTTGCTAGAGCAGGTGTCTCACATAGCACGCAGGTTATCCATCAATGTGGGAGGTTTATAGACCGTTTGTTTTGGAGCTGTTCAGCTGTTCAAGCACGAGTTGATATTCTGGGTAACACTGTACAGAGCCAGCTTTAGAGATTGTATGTGCATCCATATCAGCCCTTTGACTTTTATCAGCTTTACAGCTCTATGTTAGTCACTAAAGACCTGAAATACTTCAAGCGAATTTGAAGGATGAATAGTGTGATGCCATTTTGACCAAAATCTGTCCAAAGGGAAGGTGTTTGAGTTTGTTCTGTTGGTTAGAAACAGCTAGCTGGCGCAGACTTTAGTACCGGCTGTTAGACACCCTCCTAAATGCCATTTGTCCAAGATGATGACTAAAATCTTATCAGGGTTACAGTATATACTGCAGTATGTTTATTTTTGCTGGAAATTCAAAGATGAAGTAGTTTATATTTCAAATAACCATGTGGAAATGCCTGTTTTTGGTTTTGGAACACTTTACAAATGTACTTCCTCTCATTTGATTATTTTCTGTGTTTATTTGGAACTCGGTGGACAAAAAGCAAGAGATTAAACACGAGTTCGAACCTAAAAACTCCAAACGGTCAAAGTAAAAACAGAATGAAGCTGTTGTAAAATAGCTGACGTTCACACGCCTTTGATGGAAATTAGTTGAATACTGTCATTTGGCAAGTAGTGACATTACTAGGACGCCATAATCAACATAAACTCCATAGAAACACCATGTTCTGTCTAACATTTCCCTTCATAACAACATCTTTCTTTTTTGGGGATTTTCTTCAGCTATTCCTCATTGTATTCTTTTTGCTATGGCATAAAGAAGTTCTGCCCGCTGAGAGCTGCACAAACACCTCCAGCGGTATAAATGATGTAGCAGAATCTCTACTAGTTGACACATGTTTACCATCACATGGTAAATAGCGTTAAACCACCCAGCCCTAACCTGGGGTGAACTTGGGTTGGGCAATATGGCAAAAATATCACATCACAAATTCTGGATCATGATTCACAATCTCATCATGATTCTTTCTCATGTTGGTTTTTGAGCCTGTTTTGGAAATTACTGAGCAGTACAAGTTAATTTCCCAATTTAAAAAATATAGCCTTACAAGGCAACAAAACAAAATAAATAAAGACAGACATTTAGGCCAAAGGGTGGATAATATAAGAAATCTTATTTCACTTCATTTTATTTCATTATTTTATCTTTGTTACTAAAAATAAGAACAAAGATGCAGAATACCAACAATAGGCTAAATACAATAAATGAATGCAATAAACAGTTTTAATTTTGATTTTTTCAGGTACAGTAGGTCTATTTAACAATAGCTTTCAAGTAAGAAATGGAATCAAATGTAAAAAATAACACTGCCTAAATTAAATATACTTAGATTCTTATTAAAGCTACAAAAGTTATTCAGTCAAAAGCAATGATTTTTCTCTTTTTTGCACATTAACAGCATGGACAGCAGCAGATATATTAGGCTGCTTCACTTAAAACTTAATGCACGGATCCAACATACCATTTTCCCCCTCTCTCCCACTCAAGACATAACCTACTGTGTTTATGTGAATCCTGTGTTTTTCTGACAGTTTAAGCGCACAGGATAACTGTGCTAAACCTTTGGTTTTCAATCCTGGTCATGGGGACCCACTGCTCTACACATTTTGTGTCTCCCTTATTTAACACACCTGATTCAGATCATCAGCTCATTAGGAGAGAGATCCATTAACTGCATAGTCTGTCAGATAAGAGAAAACATACTAAATGTGCAGAGCAGTGGAAAACCTCCGCGCCAAACTATACTGTACTTACATGGGGTACCCTAAAGTAAGTAATTAAATGCAGCATTGTTAAAAACATAAGTTGCTTCAGCTGGTGCCTGAACTCACAGGAAACTCTCTCAGCCTTAGTAAACACTTCATCCTCCTCCAGCCAGCTCAGAAGAATGGTCACGGGAACAATAAACGTACTGAGCTGTGCTGCTGTGTGCCGTTTAAACGGCCAGCTGTTCTCTATGGCAGCATCCTGACCAAAATAGATTAGAAACAACCTACATGGGTAGCAACAATTTTTTCCTGCTTTCAACCCAGCATTTGTTATTCCAGTGTATTAAATATAAATATTAGGGGTGTAACGATATTCAAACCAAACCGAAAAACCGCAATACACCACCCACAATACGTATCGCGGTATTCTTGGTACGTAGGGGTTGGACTATACTGACTGTCCAATGACCAGGCTTTTAACATGGGAGTTTGATTGACAGGCGATCTGACCAATCATAATGCCGAATCCGCCGTTTTGTCCGACAAACAAACCAGACAGGAAAGTTAATAGATTAACGTCAGTAGAGTCGAACTTGAAAATGGTGTATTGATGTCTTCCGCGGTTGAGACGACATACATGTTCATTCATGTTTATTTCGAGCTATAATTAGCAGGAAGAGATTGATTCACATTTGAACCACTAGAACTGAGGCGCTACAGCGATAGGTCACATTAAAGAGTCACAAAAATGATATGTATAGTTTGAATTTGTTTAAAAATTAACAATTTTGAAAGCTGAGACTTATAGTTTCATTCCAAAAGTAACCTGCTCTGTCTTGTTGGTCAGATTGCCTGTCAATCAAACTCCTGGCGAAGGCTGAAATCCCGCCCTACATTCCAGAAGCCGTTTCACTCGGATATACGTCACAGAAGGGAAGAAAGGCTATCGCAACTTCTGTTTCATGCCGACTTTAAAGGAACTGCAGTCTATTCCTGCTGTCTGTGTTTTTAATGTTAAACAACAAAAGACAAAGAAATCACTCACTTCTCTTGACTGAATAGCTTTTGTAACTTCAACAAGGATTGATCTTTAATTTATACAGTGAAATATGCTCTGTTATTTTACATTTTGTTTACTTTTAAATTTCTGGGCCTGAAAATTACTGTTAAATGCCTGAAAACACAGTTTATTTGATTTGTATATTTGCTCTATTGTTTTTATTTGTGCTGTTGCATTTAGTTTGATTATTTGTTATTATTTTATTTATTTTTATTTGACCATAGTCCTTTTTTCCCTGAACATAGCACATACGAACCGTACTGAACCGAACCGTGACCCTAAAACCATGAACCGTACCGAACTGAACCATGAGCAATCTAAACCATTACACCCCTAATAAATACGAGTATATATTATACATGAACATTACAGTTGATACTGAAGAACATACTGTTGATCATTAATACTGATTAGATGGGTTTTTGTGAAGTCCTGTGATTGCCTTCTCCAGGAATGTATCATCTTTTGTTTTGTTTTTTGTTGTTTTTAAAAAAAATAAGTTGTTTAAACAAAATTTTCTCTGATTAACATGCTTTTATCGTGTCGCCTTGTTTGCGTCTAGTTAGGGCACAGTGTTAGAATTTAAAAATTCTGTCGTTTTAAAAACTTAAGTTAGCATAAATGAAAGGTACAAGGAATACTACAGTGATGATGATGGGAATCTGAAATGATTTTAAGGCTTATTAGGTCCCCCTTGGAAGTTTGCTGAGGCCCCTTAGTGAGCGCTGGATCCCCTGCTTGAGAATCCCTGTTTTAGACCTCAATGACAGGCATAAGCTATTTTATGTCAATTATAAACATAATTACTTTTTTTTATATATATACAGGTGCATCTCAATAAATTAGAATGACAACTGTGAGATCAGCAGTCTTCCCCATGATTGTGTAGCCTAGTGAACCAAACTGAGAGACCATTTTGAAGGCTCAGGAAACCTTTGCAGGTGTTTTGAGTTGATTAGCTGATTGGCATGTCACCATATTCTAATTTGTTGAGATAGTGAATTGGTGGGTTTTTGTTAAATGTGAGCCAAAATCATCACAATTAAAAGAACCAAAGACTTAAACTACTTCAGTCTGTGTGCATTGAATTTATTTAATACACAAGTTTCACAATTTGAGTTGAATTACTGAAATAAATGAACTTTTCCACGACATTCTAATTTATTGAGATGCACCTGTATATATATTTTTTATAGTTTTTGTTTATTTTTTCATTTCTCAAAGCTCAAAACTTTTCCCTAGATTTCTTCTAGTTCTAGCTGTAACCAGCAGAATCTCAAACTCGGTATTTTTACAGCAGAAAGCTGCCATAGAGACCATAGCTTCCTATCTATCTACCAGAAATCAATCAACCCAAAAGTTGGGGAATTTAAAAAAAAAAGGCACTTTCACACCCTCATAAAATAAAAGGTCTGAGAGAGTTCTCAAACCTGAAATGTTCCGCATGTACACTTCTCCAAGTACCCTCTAAAAGGGCTGAGACTCCAGTCTTTCCCATTGTAAACTGATCCTAAAAGTGGAACCCTGAGCAACCTTGATCATTTCATTCAGACTTAAGTTCTAAATCTAAGGAATGTTTTGTCACATTTGGATTTGTGTCATATTTGATGAAGTTTGCATAAAAAATTGTGCTATTGTCTTGTTTATTACTGTGAAGCTGCTTTGAAACAGTCTGTATTTTATAAAGCGCTATGAAAATAAAGGTGACTTGACTTGGTGCTGCAGTGAGCACACTTTTGGATGCAGAGTTTGCATGGTATACTGCTTGTTTTCTCTAATCTTTGTATCCTTCTTCCATACACAGGCCTTCGGACAGGCCCACTCCAACCACAGGAAGGTGGCGGCTGACGGCGAGAGCCGCGAGGAGTCGCTGATCCAGGAGTCGGCATGTAAGGAGGTGTATTATGAGCAGCGCATGCAAGAGCTGCAGGCAGAGCTGCGACAAGCACGTAACATCCTGACCAACGTCCAGTCAGAGAACGAACGGCTCGCCACCATCACTCAGGAACTCCGAGAGGTCAGTCTGAGCACTTCAGCACTGTCACTGTTACCCCTTTTCCACCAGCGAGCCTGGCGAGCCTTCTAAGAACCGGTTTGCCTTTCCACGGGCTAGAGAGCCACCACAGAGCCAGGTCATTACATCATTGAATACGTCTCATCTTTCCCAGCAACGCTAGCGCGGCAGCGCCAAACACAACAGGCTTGTTCAAGATGCATCAGCACTAGGGATGTAATGATTAACCGCGAGCCGGTTGAAAATCAATTTATAGTATATTATTATAGTGTTATAGTTCAATTTCACAAAGAAACGTACAGTATTTTGTCCAAGCAATAATAAAAGGACACATTTAATTTATAATATGTCTAAAATCTAATTTTGTAAAAAAAAAAAAAATTGTGAATCGAATCGGGAAATCAAAATCGTGAATCGAATCGAATCGTGAGTTGAGTGAATTGTTACATCCCTAATCAGCACACAACACCAAAGCACCAAACATAAAGAGAGTCGTCTGCTTTCCAATCACTCCCGCGGCACACCGACCTGTCCGTGCAGCGCCGATGCATCCCGAACGAGCCTAAACACACCATCAACAGTGGCGGACGTTGCATTGCTATTGATGTTCATGGCTTTGCAAACCTACATCGGCATCCAAACACGGCGAATCCCAACGTGTTCGTGTTTAGCTGCTATTTCAGAAATGGCGGTCAAAGGTTTCTGTTTGTCTTGTTGGTCACAGTAACCCCGCCCCCAGCCCCTGATGCAAGCGGTTCGTACTTCTAGACCAGCAATGTTTTGGTGCTACTTACGAACCACTTTTCCTGGTTCGGAGCTGGTGCTTTGGGTGTCGAAAGACAAAGAACCGATTTGAAACTAGGCTCTGGCTCCGAACCAGCACTCAAACTACCGTGGTGGAAAAGGTGTATGCGTGAGCGTCTGTCTGACTGAACGGCCTGTGTTTGGATCGTTAGGACGGACACATGCTGATGAGTGCATTACAGTGATTGGAAGCTTTAGTAGTAGATTTAGAAATCTCCCGCAATATGATCAGTCTGGAGCTCTTTCTTTAAGGAAGAGCGTGAAAAAAAGGACAAATCAAGACTGATGGACTCAGTTGATGGACTCTTGATAGCAAAAGGTGTTTCAACCAAGTATTAGTTGAGGGGTGTGCGATATAGTTTATGATAATTTCATAATTGTTGTTTTAATGATATGCAAGCTCACTTTATCAAGTATGTAACTCACTTTGTAGAAAACAGTCTTGAGAGTCCAAAAGCATTCACTGCGTGATGAATCATATTAGAGTACAGTTAGAATGCTCTGATAATTCAGGTGTGTGTGTGTTTTTTTTATATATATTTGAAAGCCATGATGTAGTTATGTAATAACAAAAAGCAAGAGTGCCGTTTTCCTGAATGTTAGTTTGTCAGCGCAGTCACAAATGTAATATTACTTTATGCAATAGTTTAAAAAAACAAGAAGTTAATATTGAGTGAGTTACATTTTAGACACAATATTGTCTGTTTTTTTCCTGTTTTGCCAATGAAAATGGTTTCAAACAAAGCCAGAACAGAACATTTGTGTGGCCTGAAATGTTGCTTGCACAAAAAAATGTAAATGCCGGAAAACCCAAATTAAATCTGAAACTGGGAGCAGCAAATGTATTTCATTTAGCAAGACCGCTTTAGTTAGCATTATATTTAGAGAGGTCAGGGGACACTGGGGGGGCCAATCAATTTTCCAGATGAGCCGGTGTCCCCTAGCCCTGCCTCTGTCTACACCACTGACTGGACGTGCCATACCTTGCCCAACAAACACAAACTGTGTTAAAACTGAATGTGAGGAAAAATACAGACTGAAACCCATTATATAATGCTGTACGAATGCACAGTGACCAGTAGGGATGTAATGATTCACTCAACTCATGATTCGATTCACAATACTGATTTGACGATTCGATTTTCTCACAATTTTTTTTTTTTTTTTAAGTGGTCATATGATGCGATTTCAATTTTTCCTTTCTCTTTGAAGTGTTACAAGCTCTTGGTGCATAAAGAAGATCTGTAAAGTTGCAAAGACTAAAGTCTCAAATCCAAAGAGATATTCTTTATAAAAGTTAAGAGTCAACCACACCTACCTAAAACGGCTCGTACTAACATGCCCCCACATATCTATGTTACTATGTGGGAAGATTTGCATAATGCCGCCCAAATGTTCACACAAAGAAAGAAGGCGTAACTTTTATTCTCGCTGTAGTATTGTTGCTGCCGCCATGTCGTGAAGACGCTGTGTGTTTCGTTGTGAAAG